AATAATTTAGGATATAATATATTTAGTTGACAGTTAAATTGCCAGTTTAAAGGTACTTATATTCTTTTTAAAGTAAAAAAAATATTAAATTATTTTATAAATTAAATAAAAGATAAATATTTTATCAAAAATTAGTTTTAGCTTTTAAAATAAAATTAATTTATCGCTGTTAATAAAATAAGTAGAATTATTTATTTATATTAAAAAATAATTTTTTTTGTATAGGCTATTATACAAAATATTTTAATTTGCATTAGATAACAATTCTATTATAAAAATGAAATAGATTATAATATTATTATTATTATTATTATTGATTTGAATTATTATCAATTAGCTTTAATTAAAAAAGATGTTAGTATATTTGTAGATCAGTGATTAGGCACTTTGGTTAATTGAAAAGATATTCTGATAAGAATAATCTTTTAAAATAATCAAAATATCATTAAATATCTTTATTGTTTTTTGCTTTCGCTCTATATTTAATTGCTATCACAAAAATGTACAGTAAAACATGTCAAAATTTGGAGATAGTTAAAATGAACAAAAGTTTTAATCACAAATATAACTTTTTCATAACAAAATCTGTCAATATGCTAGAAATATTTAGATTTAAGGAAAAATATTGCTTCAATAAATACATGGTATTAACAAGCATCACTGTAAAAGCATATTTTAAGATTAGTGAATAGGATCTTTGATTAGATAAAATTAACTAAAAAACAAAAAATTTTGATAAAAACTATACAATCCTTTCATTTAATAACAATATTAATTAATAGGACTTTTAGTCTATTTTTCCTTTTACAATATTTTATCTAATAAAAAGAAAAGTTGTTAGTATATTTAATAAATAATAAGCAATAGCTAAACAATATTGTCATTTGACAACAAGTAAAAAATAAGTAGCTAATATCTTTTACTTATACTTGATTTTCAAGTATGTTTTATATGTAATATATTATATTTCATAAAAGCTTTAAAAAAATTTATAAATATTAAAATTTAAAAGATTTTACAATAGTAAATACATACATTTAAAGTTAATTTATTTTAAAACCCACTAAGTAGTATATTTATATATATCTATTTACATATTTATTTATCATTCATATTATTGTAATTATTTAGAGATAAATTTTATATAATACAATACTATGTTAATATACTTTCACATAAAAAAATGATTATTTTAAATAATTTATAAAATATATTATAAATTTAAAAAGATGCTATTTATATATGTTGCTATCTTATCTGTTAATAATAATAATCTAAAAATAGAAAGTTATTAGTATATTTGAAAATTAATTAAGATATCTTCTTGATTTTTAGCCAATTTCTATTGATAGGCAGTTTTGCTCTAATTTCTTTTATTATTAAGCTGATTCTCCTCTTTATATAGAAGAAACAAAGTGGTTTTGATATATATAAATTTTACATCTCTATAAAAACCTCTGTTTTTAGTAAAAAAGCAAACCCCTCAGCCTACTTTAAGTAAGTCAGTACCCCAGTTAACAACCCCAGTCGCATAGCGAAAGTGAATAGCAAAATGTCTAAGAAAGTTCAAAACGAATTAATCGAAACTATCTCAATCAAAGTATCCAAAGAATGCTAAATTCAAAGATCAGCAATAAAGGAATTAGTCAAGTTGATGTTCAGCTAGAAAAAATACTTCAAAAATTTTGAGTACTTAAGCAGTGGCGCTTATGCTCTTCTCTTAAAGGCTTAGAATTCTTAACAGAATCGCCAAGTAGCTCTCAAATTCATAGGGAGCTCAAACCAAGAGGACAAGAATGGAATTGAATCTTTGAAAAAGGAGTATGAAATGCTTCAAAAGTTTAGCCAATCAGAATTTTTAGTAAATGTATATGATTGCTTCTATTTAATGGAAGAAAAAGAAGATGAAGATGCTGATGGAAACGATATTATCGTTTAAACTGAAGTAAAATCCTTCTTTGTAATGGAAATGGAGCTTTGCGAGAGTAAAAAAAATCACATATTTTTCATCCATTTTTTTTTATATTTCATTTTTTTAAAAACGTCTGAAAATACATAAAATAAGATACATTTATACTTTTTATTGACCTGGCATGGCTTACGCATCACCATTTTAAAAATAGGTAATTATATTTTTTTTTCTAAGTCTTTTTTTGGTTTTGATAGTTTAATTAAAAAATAATAGATTTGCGCTAAGCAGATTTAATTAATTTAGAAAATGTAATAGAAATTATTTAATTTAATATAAAAATGTTAATTTTAATTAATCTTTTAGGATTCCCCATAATTAAGAATTTTTCATTTATTTTGATTAAATTTTTCAAAATTTCTTAATTAAACCTTCTAGAAGATTAATCTATCAAAATTTTATAATCTATTTTCCCAATATAATAATTTAATTTTTTATTAAAAATTTTTTATAAATATTTGTTTTTATTTTTTACATTTTAGATAATTAAGTAAAAAAGTTATAGCAAAATACTATTAAAAAATCTAGTTGTTTGGAAACGACTAGATAAATGAATGACATTATATACATTTATTTATAAATAAGTAATTGTTTAGCTTTGCTTAACTCAGCTAAGAAGCTAATTAAATAAATGACATTCATTTATCTAGTCGTTTCCAGAATACTGATTTTTGAATGGCATTTTGCTATATTTAATTTAAAAATATGAATTAGTTATTAACTAAAAAATTAATTAATATTAACTATCCATCCAAAATTTTATTACTTATCTTAAATTCAAAAAAATAAAATTTTAAAACAAAAAAAATCTTTATAACTAAAAAAATTTTAATTATTTCAATAAAAATTATTATCAGTTAACATTTAAATTTCTATCATGAAGTTAAAATTATATAATTTAATTTATAATAAATCTATTTCAACTAATTTAATTTAATTTTAAACTTAATTAAATGTCTTGAATTAAATAATTTCTATTAGCTAAATAAATTTATATAAATCCAAAAATATTAAAAAATAATATTTTACTTTTTATAAAATAGGTTTAAAAAATAATATTCTTAATAAATTATTTAATTAAACTTGTTCATTAATAAATAAATTAAGAAATTTAATTTCAAAATTTTAATTTTTTTTTCTAAGTTTTTAAAAAATAAAAAATATTTGCACATAAAAGTAATAAAAAATTTTTTTAATAAGTTAAAAACAAACTTAATTTTAATTTTAACATACTAATAACAATTAATTTAATTTTACAATTAACTAGATAATCTCAAATAGCTCTTTGATTACCTCAGAAAATAACAAGTTCCACCTTCGAAAGAGATGAAGGAAATAATAGCCATTCAAATGATTGAAGGGCTGAACAACCTTCATGTCAAAAATATTATGCACAGGGATATTAAACCTTAAAATTTCCTTGTTTGTCCTTCAAAGCAATATGGTTTCTCAATCAAACTTTGTATATAATTATTTTTATATTATTTAATTTTTAATAAATAATTTTAAATTCAGGTGATCTTGGATTTGCATCAGCTGTGTCTAAATCAAAAAGCTTCATGTCTAAGGTTAAAAAATTAATTATTATTTTAATAAACTTCAATATTTTTTATAATTTTCAGAAAGGAACTGATGCATATTTTGCTCCAGAAGTGGAAGCAGGATAATCTAGAATTCAGGTTTTTAATAATAATGTTGTATTATTTTTTGAAGTTTATTTAAATTAAATAGTCAGACCTCTTTTCACTAGGACTCGTTTTATTAGAGCTTGACAATCTCAAGACTCTAAATGAGAATTGGATAGATACTAAAACAAAAAATCATCTATTCAACGGAGAAGAAATACCTAAAGAAAAATATTAGATAGATAAGAATTCTAATATATACAAAGTTGCTAAAATATGCTTAAAACCTTGGTATTTAGATAGGACTACAGCAGGAGAATTACTATCCAAGCTCATCTAAATGCATGGTTAACCATTGAAATTTGTATTGACTTCTATGATACTAGAGGTAATATATTACTATATTTTTCTCAAAATTTAAGCTTATTTAAAAAACTAATTTTAAATGTTTCCTAAAAATATTTAAATTTTATTGAAACTCTTAAAAAAATCATTAAAAAGAATTTTAAAAATATATTTTCCTAACAAATTTGATAGCATAAAAATAATGTTAAGAGCATAATAAAATAAGCTTATCTGCATCAAAATTTTTTACTTTTAAATGAAAAACACATTATTTTTAAATTATCAAATAAAATTTATGAAAATGATATAATAAACTTATTATTTCTTTTTATTATTAATGAAAATTGTTGTTTTCCTCACTATTTAATATAAAAAGAAATTTTATTTAATAATTAATTTTTTTTAGTACATTAATCTCTCAAAATAAAAAAAAAATTGATTTTATTTTTATAGTCGAATTAAATAAATAATTTTATTTATAAAATAATAAAAGGAATAAATACCTAGATAGGCACAGTAAATATTTGAAAAAATTAATCAATTGTAAAAACAAATGGTAATCATTTTTAGCTAAAATTTTTATAAAAAGTTATAAATTAAATGTAAATTATATAATAATTAATTTAAAGCATAATTAATTCGACGAGTATGCTAAGTTTATTCTAGAGAATACCAATAACAAAATTATAGAAAAAGATTTTCAAGCACAATTTACAAAAGTGGAAGTGTTATCTAATCTGCTGAAAAGTCTCTATGAAAATAAAAAATATACGAATAATTTTCAAATTCTAAGCTTTGGAAGCTTTGGAATGGTATTAGCTACTAAAAAAGCTAAACTTGATAAAAAAGAAATAGTGTTAAAAATACAAAAAATAGAAGATGAATAATAAATCAAAAATGAAATTAGTATTATGTAGAAATTAAAAGAACCACTAGTGGTATAGCTTTATGATAGCTATATAATAGAAAATAAAATAGGACCTGATAGATACTCAGTCTTTGAATTAGAAAAATGTTCATGTAATTTATTAAATTCTTAATACTTATTTTAAATTAAGTTCCAATTAACTAATTACAAACACATTTTTGTAATATAAAACCCAATTTTAAGCAAATAAACAAATGAATAAAGATATTTAATATAAAAAAGAATTTAATTTGTTTTTTAAATTTTAAAAAATTAAAAAATTTAATTTATTAACTTTAAAAATAATTATTATACTTTCATTATTTTTAATATAAAAATGATATTTAAAAAATATATTTGATTAAATTTTACTGTTTATTTTGTAAAAGGTTCATTAGATGAATATCTTGATAGATAAAACAAAGATGGATAATTTAATGATGATGATAAATATTAAATAGCAATCTAAATTATAGATTCTGTCAATTATATTCATTCATTTAATATCATTCATAGAGATATTAAACCAGAAAATTTTTTGGTTTATTTAGATGGAAAATAACCAGAAATAAAATTGTGTAAACTATTTTTATTCATAAAGTATTTTTTATTATCTTTTAATTTTAAGGTGATTTCGGCTTATCTGCTTAGATTCCAGATAATAAAGATTCAATTCAAGCTATAGAAGTAGATTTTTAATTCTATATATATTAAATATTAAAAATAATTTTATATATAGAGCATAGGTAATTTAGGATATTCGGCACCTGAAATACTAAATAAATAGGATAATGAACTTAAGATTTATTCAAAGAAAGTAATATTTTTATAAAAAATGTTAATTTTAAATTAATTTATTATTTTAGTCTGATTCATATTCAGTAGGATTATTACTAGCTTTCTTAGATAATTATTAAGATCTGAAGAAAAATGCACCTTTTACTTTCTTATTAATGACAAAAAAGCAGTTAGATAAGCCTTTCGAAAAATCTAAGATTAAAATTAACAAAAATTCAGAAATTTATAAATTTATTAACCTTCTTGTTGTTTCTGATAGTGGTTAGAGGGCATCTCTGTATGATATTGTTCAATAAAGCGATATAAACTTCTTTTCTAATTCAAAAGAAATGAAATAAATTGTACAAAAAACTCTTTTGATACAAAATGATAAAAAAATAGAGTAAAATACGACTATAAAAATTTTTTCTTTAGAGGATTTGAGCAAAGTTTAAAATTAAAATATTGTCGAGATATATTTAAGGTAATATTTTAATTTTAATTTAGGTTTTTAATATTTATTAATGATCAATTTTACACTTTTTAAAATTATTTTATTGATAATCTTTTCTCCTTAAAAATTAGTTTATTAAAGTAAGTAAATTATATTTATATTTACTAATTTTAATTTTTTTAATAACGGTAAAATTCTAATACCAAAAGAGAAAAAATATATTTCTCTAAATTAAATAAAATGCTAAATTTTAAAAAGAAAAATACTTTATTCTTTTATTTTTATAGTATATTTTCAATCAATATGTCTAATTTAGTAAAAAATACTTCATACATATGAGTCTTCTTTAAAAAAAGACTTTATTTTTTTTAATAACCATACATTGAAACCGAAAATTTATAATATATGGAGTTAAATAGTAATATCTTAATCTTATGATAAAAACAAAAAAATTTAATTTAGCTTTGTAAAATTACTAATTCAAATAAATAAATATTCTTAATCATTTTTATTTATTTTACTATTTATTTATTGTTAATTTAATTTTAAATCTTTAAATTTTTATATTTTTAATTTTTTATCAAATTATTTATTTCAAATTCAATTATTTCTTAGATTTATTTTTTAAAATACGATTACTCCTAGAAATTTCTCATTTTAAAAGATTAATAAATATTTTTCCATTTTTATTATTTGGTTTTAAAATAAACTTATCTCTTATTAATTAGGAACAAAAATATTCAAGATGAATAACTTAAATAAATAGCTGGTGCTTTAGAAAAGTGTTAGAATATTTCAAGTCTACTTTTAGGTTTAAGGTATTGAATTAATTTTATTATATTTACTTTTAAAATATTCCTTTATATTTTAATTTAATTTTATTATTAATTAGTGAGAATAATTTTAAATTAGAAGGTGTTTAATATATTGCTACATCTTTACAAAAATGTCATCAAATGAATAATTTAACACTATATTTAAGGTAATTAATTAATCTTATATTTAATATTTCTTAATTAATTTTAATTTTATCTGTATTATAATTAGACATTTAAATTATTTTATATTTTATTATTAATTAGCAATAATAGTTTAAATTTACAAGCAGTTCAATCGATTACATAATCATTATAAAACTGTTAGAATCTCACTCAATTAATTCTTTGGCTGAAGTAATTATTTTTTTTATATTTGATATAATTTTTTTTAGTTTTTATATTTTACATTTTTCTATATTTAAATTAATTTAATTTAATTATTTGTTAGGTAAAATAATTTAAATGAAGAGGCAGCAAAATATCTAGCACTATTATTAGAAAAATCTTAAAATCTTACATATTTAGATTTAAATCTTAGGTAATTAATTCTTTTAATATTATTATTTTTTATTAAATATTTTTATACAATTTAAAAAAATTTAAGTGAAAATAAAAATTTAGAGTTTTAATTAATTAATAAATTTTATTTGATTTAATTTTAAATTATTTGTAATATATTAATTTATGCACTAACACATAACAAGAATATATTTATAACAATATTAATATCTAAATATAATACTTTTAATTTTTGGAAATTAAATTGAGTGAAAGTTTGTTTTTTGTTTAAGTTATTTCTAATAAATATATTTATTATTTTTTTTATTAAATATTTTTTTATTTTATTTTGTTTATGAATTAATTAGTGACAATAATTTAAAATTAGAAGGTGCTAAATATATTGCTACATCTTTAGAAAAACTTCATAAAATGAACAGTCTAAAGCTATATCTGAAGTAATTAATTAATCTTTTTATTTTTTAATTTTCTTTAATTTTATCTATTTTTTATATTTGTATTTAATATTTCTTAATTTATTTTAATTTTATTAGAATTATAATTATAAATTTACATTATTTTATATTTTATTATTAATTAGGAATAATAGTTTAAATTTAGAAGCAGTTCAATAGATTACATAATCATTATAAAACTATTAGAATCTTACTCAGTTAACTCTTTATCTTAGGTAATTATTTTTTATATTTAATATCATTTATTTAATTTTTATATTTTACATTTTTCTATATTTAAATTAATTTAATTTATTTATTTGTTAGGTCAAATAATTTAAATGAAGAAGCAGCAAAATATCTAGCTTAATTATTACTAAAATCTTAAAATATTACATCTTTAGAATTAGACCTTTAGTAATTAATTCTTTAAATATTATTAT